GTGTGTGTGTGTGTGTGTGTGTGTGTGTGTGTGTGTGTGTGTGTGTGAGGGGGGTCCATGCATGTGTATGTCTATCCCTGTGTGTGTGTGTGTGTGTATGAGAGAGAGTGTGTGTGTCCTGGCTGGGTGTCCTGGTAATGCTGAGACAGACGGTGAGCGGGTGGGTTTATTTTTGGGTCAGTGACAGTGTGTCAATGGCCGCAGATGCATCGGAAAGGAAGGCTCTGAGATACAAGCAAACCCTGGTCAGTGTCGCACTCGTTCCTCTTATTCTCTCTCTCTCTGTTGCTCTTTTCTCTGTCCATCTGTTAATCTCTACGTCAGCCTCTCCCTGTCACGCGTATTGTGTTGCTCCACGTTTTCTTTCCCCGAATCTCTCGTCATTGTGGCGTGACGCACCTGTAGTGGCAGTGCAAACTATATGTGCACGGATGGAGCCAGTCTGACTTGTTGTGTGTGTGAGCCTGTGAATGAACCGCATTCAGTTGTGTGTGTGTGTGTGAGTTCTAGACATTGTGAAGACCAATTAGCTTTATGTACAATAACAGGGTCATGCACATGGCCACGCAACAGGTGCTTAGACACCGTGCACCACCTTCACCCCTGATCTTGATATGCACATACACACTTTGTCGCTGTCTTGCTGTTTCCTCCTTTCCAGGCCGGCCACCTGTTTGCTACACTTTCTGCGCCTTGTTTCTTAGGCCCCGCTTGGTCTTAACACAACTAAGAACTACTTTAGTGGTATGTGTGGCGCAGTACGTCTGAACGTTGGGTGTACAGTGTGTGTCCCTCCGTGTACATCCGTGATCGTGTGTTCACTCGTGTGTGTTGGGTGTTCGTTCCATGTGTGTTCCATCAAAGTGAAACCCGATCGTGCATTTGCAGGGGTGCTAATCTTCACTATTCATGTCGTTACATGTATGTTTTCGGACATGGCAGTGTGAAGGGTGTCTCAGAAAGGCGTCTCATCTGGAGGATTTTCAGCACGGATTTGGGATGTTCTGTTGAAGAACCCTTGTTTTAGGGATGTGCATAGACAGACCAGACAAATAGAAGTACTATTCGCTTGATAGGCAATGCAATACAGTAGCCCCTCCTTGTTGTGGGTACGCAGTTTACATTAAACGGGGTTCTCTGGTGCTGAGCACGGAATAAACAAAAAAATGCAAAACAGTAGCATGCTGCATATCAGCCAGGAAGAAAAATACAAATCTGCTTCAGATGGCATTTTTTATAGTTCATTTTCACCGGGAGTTTGCAAATTACTTACATCAGGTTCTGTTTAATCTCAGATACTAATTGGTCTCTTTGTTTAGTTTTCCATATACTCTGAATCTGCACTTATGGTTTTATTTGTTCACACGATTGAGACATGGTAAAAGATATTAATGGTTGATGAAACCGTATTCCAGGAAGTGCCGAGTCATTTATTTGTGTGTGTGTGTGTGTTTGAAGGCCATGCGGGCTGAAGGAAGCCTTCTGTTTACACTGTCACTCATCGGAGCAGAGCTATAAACAGGAGTGTCTTATCACTTATTTATTCATTTTGTTGTGATTTTGAATGCATCGTGTGTGTGTTTATCTCTGCGTATGTGCGTGTTTGTGTGTTCTTATAATTTGATAGTCACTTGATAGCTAAATTTTGAAGTACAAAGAAAACACAATAAATGAGGTATAATAATAATAAAAATAGTTCCCCTTCTGCAATCTGCTTCAAGGTCAGGGCACGTGATCATGTAGAGAATGTATGGAGTTAAACCCGTCTCTTAGCATTCTAAACGCTTTTCACTGCATCTGAGCTGAATGAACAGAAAGAAATGCCTCCATGTGTTGGTTTCATTTACGGAGACGCTGCTTCTCCTTGATTTTCCACTCACCAATGATTTTTGGAGCTCCCCAACAAAGAGGCAAATTAGCATTATAGCTGTTAAAAGATGCAAGCTGAGCGGCTTGATGACACATCACCTAGCAGGCTACATATCCAACCTGTGGGGAGATTTTGGAAAAAAATGAATCGCAATCTGGAAAGAAAAAGAAAACGGATTCCATAGGGCCATAAATGTAATTTGTGTTAAACATCTGCTCTTGAAAGGTGCTTTATAAATGTCTTATTTTTATGTGGACATCAAAGGGACGAGAAGTGGAGTTAAAGCATCTTCTCTTGCCGATTTACTGGACAGTCGGTTAGATTATCTCGTTGACTTTTTCTTTGATCAGAGAAGTTTAACCTCTTTTATTTGGGCAAAACTCTCGAATGACTGCTTGGAATTTGACAGCTTTATGTTTTGAAGAAGTTTTGCTTTGGTTTCCTGTATTAAATTCTCACGTGGAACTAGTTTCTAAAAATGTCAAACTATACCCAGCTCGGGTTTAGACCGCATGTCTAAGAGCGAGAAATGAATTCCTTCCATGAAGCATAGTGCTGTACCTGACCCTTCCACTATCTACATCCATGCATTAGCATGTCTGCACCGTGTGATATTTAAATCAGAAACTAAACTAAATTGTCAGAATATTGGGAAACTCTGCTCTTTGCTGCAGTCTTTTCCGTTCACACTTCCTCTCCATAAGTCCTTGAGGGACTAAAAGACAGCTGGAAGGACGGAGAGTGAGAGAAATAGGAGAAAGTAAAGGAATATGATGAGGCATTGAAAGGTCCACTGATGGTGCGAGAGGGAGAGAGGTGTGGGAACTGTAATGAGGAATATTGGATCACACCGCTACTAAATTTAGCCCTGAGTAGTGTTTCACCGACAGAGAGTAGGGGGGCAACGAAGGAAGGAGCTAAGTGATCAGTGCCGAGTAGAGTTTCACTGTTCGAGAGGGAAAACGGGAAGGTGAGGTGGAACGAGGTAAAGCAGCAGGACTGTGGTCGGGATGGATGTCTGACAGCATGGTGGACCGTGCTGGAGCTGCATAGCAGTGAACAGCTGATTGCGCTTCCAAACATGCAACTTTGGTGTCTCAACTAAATCAAATAGAGATGTTCAATATAGAAAATATTATGTTACATACATGTATACATTTTACATGATTTATTTTGATAAATATGGATTAAAAAACACAATTTTCAATTGAATAACAAACAATCATTGCTTAGGTGTGTGCATCTCTAAGGCTCTTTCTGTTACGCTGCTTTATCGTGGTGTAACGGACTGTTACATGTGTGTTAATTACACAGTTTGACATACGATCATAATCAGCAAATATTTAGTCAAATATGCGATCAGGACATCAGCATTCGTGCTTTATGTTCGCCGATCTCTGATAATGTTACATTGTAAACAATCAATCCGTCTTTAAATCAACAGGAGAGCTAGTAACGTTAGCAGCACCGCTAACGGCTAACGAATGAAGGTTATGCTCAGTTACATTATGATGCGTTCAGGCTCTGCTGTGAACATGACAAACGTGACAATAATAACTGAAACTGCATGTAGTATGATGTCATTACAGATAATTTATGACAGATTCAAACTGTAGTACTAGTTTCCAGTGAATCTGACAGACATGTTGCTCGAGGTGTGATGTTGACGGTGTATCGTGTGTCTGCTTTAGGTTTCGGTAAAGTGATAGTTGTCCCCTTTCAAGTGTGTTTGTGTGCACTATTTGTGTGTAGTGGCCTTGCAGACATGAGCCTTAAGGGCAGGTCAGGATAATCTATGATGAGAAAAATGTGTTTATGTGATGTCATAGTAAATTAAATGTCAAGTGTATTCACAGATATACCCGACAGTTTGACACAAATCGTTGTCGGGTGAGCTCAACGATCTTGGCTTCCCGAACTAAGCCGACTAGCTGTGACAACTGGTGCGCTGCCAAACACTTTCTGGGTTAAACTCCGTCCATGCTCCAGATTGTCTTTCTATGCTGGACATTAACACCGAACCGAACGGTTCGGGACGAACACACTTACTGATGTTTCCCTTGACGATATGAAAATAGATACGATCGCCGACCCAATCAAAACATCCGTGGCTTCTATTGTTTGAGTCTGTGTTGTGTGTCGGCATTCAGTTACAGCATATTGTGTATTATGCTGCTCAAGTTTCACTGTGCGTTGACTGGCATGTCTTCTCACACAGCATGGCCAGAACTCTGTGTGTGTGTGTGTGTGTGTGTGTGTGTTAATCCATCCATCAATCTGTCTGTCCATGAACCTGCTAAATTAGAAGCTGTTGAAAGGCGACTGCACGGACATCCAACGTGTCAGCACCAGATGCGACTTATCAGCTTGTCAGTTGTATTCCTGGAGTTCTATTGTCTGCTGTTGATGTACCACGTATATATATATATATAGATACATATATATATGAAGTTTAGTATTTAGGGTACAATACTGAAATATTAGACCCCGCTTCAGTGGTGTAGATATAGAAATACTTTGTGATGAATTGTGATTGTGAGAAGCGGGATTGAGGAAAGTGATTTTAAGTTCTGCGTTGACAAAAAGTATAGCCGTCACACAGTTAGAATCTTTATATTTATGTGTATAAAATTCATCAACATGAAATTTGAAGTATACTCTTTAACTCTTTATTGAGCACTGGTGTCTTGACATAGTATTGTTTCATGTTGTTGTAGTTGTCAAGAGGACTTTACACTTCATATCATTTCCACAAGATTACCCAAACACCTGTGTTCCCAGTAGAAGCGCTCGGCAAGTTGTAGGTGTGAATATACAACAGCAAGAAGTGTGTGTGTGTGTGTGTGTGTGTGTGTGTGTGTGTGTGTGTGTGTGTGTGTGTGTGTGTGATATCTTGTGATTAAATAAAAGGATGAAACAATTGCAAGAGGACATCTCCCACTGAAAGAGATGTTTGTGCCAGAGAGCGAGAGAGACAGATGAGAATTGATCTCTTCCCCAGATGTCCCCGGCAGTTTTCATGGCGTCTGTCCAGAGGTGATAAATCCTGAGGCAGAGCCCATGTCTCCCATTAGAGCTGTTTGGGTCAACACGTGGTCACGTCTATTTTTAAAAAGGGACTCTTCTCTGCCAGGCTGCCAAAAAGGAGAGCACTATCACAATCTACGTACTCTCCTTCTCAGGAACTACCTGAACATGTTCATGTCTAAGAATTAAAAGCCAGATATTTGTAGGATTTCTTCTCTTCTGTAGTAATGGATTAATTGGTTCACTGATTGATTGATTGATTGATTGACAGCTCTATGGGGAGTACCAAGAGAACCAAGGAGGCTCCGGCAGACGGGAGGCCACGCGCCTGCTGACTGAGAGACAGATCAAGAAACATGGCAATCATCACCGCAGCCATGGCAGGGGACGCCACGGCCGGCGTGGCCCCGGTCAGGATGGATACCACAGCCGACACCAGCACGGCTACCACAGCAGGCAGAGGAACAGGCGCCAGTCCAACATGGAGGCAGAGGGTGATGAGCAAGATGAGCAAATGGCTAAACCCGACCTCACGTCCTCTATGAAGAAGAGACGCTCCTACTCCAAATGTAGAGGTGAGCAAGAGATGAGATGAAAACATTAAAAAAAGGTAAGGGCATGGATAGATTCCTTATCATTCCTCTGTTGTTTTGTGGCGTTTTGGTTTTGTCAGACTGCATCGCACGGGTGCAGAGATTCCTTGTGACCCGGTTGGGAGAAGACTGGATCTTCCTCGTTCTGCTGGGCATCACAATGGCGCTGGTCAGCTGGACAATGGACTATGCCAGCGCAAAGAGCCTGCAAGGTAGGACTACAGGGCCCATAATGCATTGCAGAATCTGTTAAAGTAAAGCAAAGGCTGGTGCAATATAGACCAGGTACTTGCATCTTCTGCTCTGAATTTTCTCTTCTTTTCAATCCATCGTTGTTTTGATCTTCCTTTCCTCTTGTTTTTCCAACCTCTCCAATCTCTTCCTCCCTTCCTCCTTCCCTCCCTCCTTCAGCCTATAAATGGATCCATGTGGAGCTGAGGGGGAACATCCCCCTGCAGTACCTGGCCTGGGTTTCATATCCCCTGATCTTCATTCTGTTCTCTTCCCTCTTCTGTCACCTGGTCGCGCCTCAAGCTATCGGTCGGTACCCCCCCTTTCCTCATGGCTTTGTTCACTCAGAATGTCTCTTTAAGATGTAATCCACTGCATATCAGACAATATACGTTTAAAAAATTCTGTCTGCAACATCACATACTGGATGAAAAGTCCTCTCTCGGCTAATCAGTGAAGTCAGATCCTGTAACATTTGACTGGGAACCCTGTGGAGTCCCTTTAGGGTGCATGATTACCTCGCTCATCTTCTCAAGAATACAGAGGAACGCTTTCCACGTTATCTCATTCCTTTTGTCACGTGAGGAAATTACTCTGCGAAGCAAGAAGAAATGGTTTGGAAATGACACTATCCAGAGTAGAAAAACATCAACAAACAAACAAGGTGTAGCTTCACTAAGCTAGAGTTTTATGGTTATGGAAGTGCTTTAAATTTGTATCCAGCTTTTTTAAATGGCTGCAAATTTACAGCCGCTCCAAAGTCAATTGGACGTTTTTCGATTAAAACCATGATACACTAATGTGAGACACATTTCTTCTTCTTTAATTCAAACCTCTTTGTCCCCGTCCCCGTCCCTCCTAAACAACCTCTGTTCCACCTTCTCTCTCTCAGGTTCTGGCATCCCAGAGCTGAAGACCATCCTGAGAGGTGTGGTGCTCAAGGAATATTTAACTCTCAAGGCCTTTCTCGCTAAAGTCATTGGTCTGACTGCTGCCCTGGGCAGCGGGATGCCCGTGGGCAAAGAGGTGGGTGATCCAGATATCAACACAGATTAATTAACTTATCTCACCATCACCAGCACCCTGCTACCTGATTTAATCTTCCTGTTTTGTGCTCATCTCCGTCTCTCAGGGTCCATTCGTTCACATCGCTAGCATCTGTGCTGCAGTTCTCAGCAGGTTCATGTCCTTCTTTTCAGGAGCTTATCAGGTAAGCTGATGTCAGGAAAGATTCTCATTTACAGGAAACTTTTGATTGTGATTGTAAAAAAATAGAAAAATGTATACGAGATATTCCTCATCTATGTGTCGTCTCTCTTCTGTCTCAACCCTTCCTCTCTGGATCAGTAGAATCCGTACTGTTATACGGACATCCTGACAGTGGGCTGTGCTGTTGGGGTCGGCTGCTGCTTTGGTACTCCACTGGGAGGTACACAGTCTTTTCTCTTTGTCTCTCTCATTTAACATATACTGTGTGGACACAGGAGACTGAAATTGGGGCTTTAGGGATCTTAAATTATCCAGAAATTTAGCCATTTTACAGGAAACACAAGATTGTTTGCATGTTACTTTCTGTATCTGTGTTATTCTGTCTGTTTGATCACCGTTTCCTTTCCTTGTTTTCATCCTCCACCAGGTGTGCTCTTCAGTATCGAGGTAACATCCACATACTTTGCTGTGAGAAACTACTGGAGAGGATACTTTGCTGCTACATTCAGTGCCTTCATATTCAGAGTGTTATCCGTGTTCAACAAAGACGCAGGTACTGATGAGAGAAAACGTATTTATTAAGATATTGACTGTCTTTCAAATGTTGTACTGGTGTGTGTGAGAGATACTGCACAATATTACGTCTCTTTATCAAACATGCACTAGAGGGCACCCTTACGTCAATAATTCACACCAAGCTGACACTTCTTTTAAGTGACACTGACTTGCACTTCCACTAGTTGGTGTTCTCCACCATGTAGCAGCAGGACATTCGAATTTGTCAATCAGTCACATACTCACATATGCATTGTATGAATGTCACCTGTGCCTTTTCTTTGTCTTCCAGTGACCATCACCGCTCTGTTCAGGACAAACTTTCGCATGGATTTCCCTTTTGACCTGCAGGAGCTGCCAGCCTTCGCCATCATTGGGTGAGGGACTGTAAAACTGAGACAAAGAGGGACGTATGCCAGCGTGTGTGTGTGTGTGTGTGTGTGTGTGTGTGTGTGTGTCTGTGTGTGCAGTTTGTCTCCAAACTTCCCAGTAGACAAGATATAAAATGTTAATAAGTCAAACTTTATGCAAATGTGGCATTTAAAACACGGAGAATCCAATTATTAGTTCAGCATTTAGCTCGGGGGAGGAAAGAGAGAGAGGGACAGAGAGAACATACAGGTGCGACAAGTGAACTTAACTCAGCTAATGTGGGGTTCTTTGTTTGTGCAGGATCTCCTGTGGGTTCTTGGGGGCCTTCTTCGTCTATCTCAACAGACAGGTGGTGCTGTTCATGAGACGACCCAACGCCATGACCCGCTTCCTCACCAAACAGTGAGTCTCTGTGTGTCATTTCAAAGGTTTAAGGATGCTATGGTATGCAATCGTCATACTTGAGCACTTAAAGTTAATATTCATTCTTTGCAGAAAGTATAATTCTTTAGGGATTTGCTAATTACAGATCATTTCATTAAGGAACCTTTTTTCTTCTGTTTTTCGCTCCCAGCCGGCTGATTTTTCCTGCTGTGGTAACACTCGTCATCTCCACGCTGACCTTCCCACCCGGCTTCGGACAGTTCATGGCAGGAGAGGTCAGAGCTCATGTCTTGTTTTCCCTCCTTTCACTCATGTAAACAAGACAGAGCACACGGCATGTACATCTCTCTGTACCTGCACGCAATGCTGACAGCTACAGAGAGCTGAAACACACAGACCAGCAGGAAATGAATGGCGGTAACTAATTTAAAACACTACTAACAGACATTTATGGAAACACCTGCTTCAAAACAATACAGAACAATATCCATCTACAGGCCATGATGTTCATAAGCAGAAAGCTAAACTCAACAATCCCTTACATCTTTCGTCTCTTTGGATTCCACCACGTATCATTGGGACCAGTAGACTTGATCAATATAATATAATATAATGTATAATATAAGCCTGGTGCGTCCCCTTTGTGCAGATTGAAATTCAACATTTTCAAACTGTGACCTCTTGGTGCCACAGGCATTAATGTTGTTCAAATGTGCATATCTATTTCTGAGTATTTGGCAAAGCGTGACAGCAGGTTAGATGAAGCGTGACACCCTAATGCTTTTAATAATTGTAATTATGCCTGGGCAGTATCGAGTTATCACGATGTATCACGGTATTTAGAAATCCTGAAGATATCAGTTTTAATACATTAGTTTCCTCAAATGTTTACTATTGCTAGCCCGGCAAAAAAAAGTAAAAAATATAAATATTTAATGTATTTTGAAGATGTTTCTTGAAACGAATACGTGTTTTATAAATAGGGAACTCCTTTGAAGAGTAGCTCAGTGTGTAGTGTAAGTAACGTGAGATAGAGACGTATACGAGCATATCCTCTGACTTTTGTTCAGCTTTTCTTTTTTATACGATAAACCCCGGTGAAATGTCAGGAAGGTGTGAAAAAATAAATACCAGCCAAACCTAACTGGGATTAACATTTTAGATGTGAGCCGTGATCTCTGCTGCTTAAGAGTGAACCAAACGTAAATCTGTACTTGTGTATTCTGGACACCGTCAGCTGGTGAACGTGGCCGTGTGCCTCACCGTGTTTCTACGTGAGCGGAAGCTCCGCGCTTCTGTGCTGCGTGTACGAACAGTTCAAGGTGAAAGCTCAGACGGCCACGTTCAGTATCAACAGCTAGCTGAGAGCTAATCATGTGTTTCCCAGGCGCTCAGAATAGACCACTTAGTGTGAACCAGGTGTGTGTGTGTGTGTGTGTGTGTGTGTGTGTGTTATGTGCTGTTTTAAGAGCACACGTATCCATCTGTGTGCATATGTCAGTCAGCGACACCTGAACATGTTTGTTCTTTCACACCCGCATTGTAGGAATGTGTCACACCTTTTCTAACAAACCCACAGCATCGTTTTAACACAGCAGGGGATTGAAGTGATATCTAAATTTAAAAAAAATAGTCACTTAAGAAAATAAATCTGTTTGACAGACAGCCCCCCCCCCCTCCCCCCCCCCCCCCCCCCCCCCCCCCCCCCCTCTCCTTGAAAACGTATATATAGATTTTAGGGAATGAAATCCTTCCGATCCAACTTGATAGCGCGGTGCGGAGTGACGGAGGCAGCGGCACAATGAGAGGAGATTAAAAAGCTTGATGGGTTGTGAACCCACAACTTCAAAAAGCCTATTATCACCTGCTGCTCCACGATCCTCCGCATTCACACTCGCGCTGAACGATGAAGTTCGGAGGCCTCGATTCAACCCCGAGCTCGAGCAGCGGGAGAGAAATCGGAGTGACGTCGGTGTTGTTTCCCCCCCGCAGCGGCGTTATGCAGATGCAGGGGTTTTGTGCTGCAATTTGTTCCTGTGAGTAAAAATTCTGAGGCGTCTATGCAAATGTGGTGCAAAAGGGTTGAAGTGAATTAGTCATTCATGAGTCATCTAAAGAGAGTTACTCATTGGACGAGGCCGCCCGTACCCGTCTGCTTCCTGGATGACTTCCTGCCTGCTTGTCCCACTTGACTTTCTTCCTCCCTTCACTTTTTTTGTCTCCTTTTTTCATGCTCTCCTTCCTTTCGTTATTCTCTCTATCTGTCCTTCTCTCTTATTCTTCTCCCCCACTTGTCATTATCCTAAACTTCCTCCCTTCATCTTCTTCTCTTCCTTCCCTTCAATCTATCTTTCTCCCCGTCTCTCTCCTTCTTGCTCAATTTTCCCCTTGTCCCATTTTTCATCCCTTTCTCTCCCCATCCTTCTTTCTCTTTCCATGCTCCCCCTTTTTTGGTCTTCAGTTTCCTTTATGCATCCTCATCTTTATCCTCTTTCCTTCCTCCCTCTGTATTTCCCTTCTAACTCCCTCTTTACCTCCACCCTTTCTCCCATTTGACCTTCTTTTTGCTACCTCTCTTACCATTCTTGTTTTCTCCTCCCCCTCTCTCTTCAATTTCTCCCACTCCCTCCTCCACCCTCGTTCCCTCTTCCACACTCACAACCTTCCCTCCATACTCTCTGCCCTCCTTTTTTACTTCCGCCCCTCTCCTCCAGCTGATGCCAAGGGAGTGCATCAACTCCCTGTTCGACAACTTTACGTGGACAAAGATTTCGGAATCTCCTCCTCCGGTCGGACTGGGTCTTTCTGCCGCCTGGCTGCACCCTGATGTCAGTGTCTTCCTCACCCTGCTGCTCTTCTTATTCATGAAGGTCTGTGGCTGCTGGAAAATGCATGAGTGTGTATGGCTGTGTGTGTGTGTGCGTGTGTGTGTCTTTGTCTTCCTCCTTTTCTTCCTGTCCAAGGTCAACAGTGATGGCAAGCTACCAGCAGCTCTAGCATTCTTATGTTTTCTTGAAAGCAGCTGCACACACACACACAGTCACACACACACACACCGTGGAGAGTTACATTTCTTTCTATCTCGGTTGTAATTTGCATCGACATGAACACCGATCTGGTGTTGACTGTGGAGCTGCAGAAAGTTGATGGAACTGTCTGTAAAAAACATCCCACAGTACATTAATAAAATAATGTGTTTGCTGCAACTAGCCTGCGCACACCCCTCATTGTTATCCAGTATGTATCATACCGACTGTAACCATCAAACCAAAGCTATCAGTTTAACTTGACTTGTAATCAACACAGAAAACGCGTCTCCAAAATTCAAAGCTGTTTAGAAGGCAAAGGCCCTCCTCCCATTTAGCCTCTTGATATCCGCACCGCTTTGCCTTCTGGGCAATCTGTCCACCCCCCCCCCCCCCAGTAATGTTCTTCCTCTGTGACCAGAGCCTCCTGAGTTTCAGACAAAGTCTGGTCTCTAAATACTCTGCGTCCTGACTGACCCGCCTACAGTCTGTTGGCTGCTGCAGAGAAACCTCACCAAGCTGTTGCTGCCTCCTGTTTGACGAAAACATGCAGCTTCAGTGAGGAAGTTTGGAACTGGACGGAGCAGATTACGTTCCCAGCAAATACGAAACCAAAGTGTTCAGTTCACACGGAAAAGTGCAATATGGCATTTCTGCCTAATTTGACTTTAGACACTACAGAGAAAAAAGCAGACTGAGGTCAACTCTGAAGAGGCAAATGTCTTCTGCGTAATTTTGGAATCTGATAACAGAGTGGATCTGGGACAAATTGTGGAGGACCATTTTGAATGCTTACACATGATCGTCCTATCAACAGAGCCACCCACTGTATTGGTTTAGTCGTGTTGTTTCTCAGTCGAGCAGAGCGGCTCCCTGCAGTGAAAACTTAATTCAACCAAAACTGAGAGCAGCTGGCTGGTAAAAGTCTCACAAACAAACACTGAGTTCTTCTGCTGCTGTCAGCATCTTTCTCATAGTCATACTCACACTCTGGAGCTTCCTCTCTCCTCCATGCGTTTGTGCTTCTCTTTGCCTCTGTTTCCCCGTCTCCCTTTGTCCCACACGTGATTAGACTCTCATTTACATGGTGGATATTAGGGTATGTTTTACATTGGAAGTTCAGTTCAAATCTAGGACCAGTTTGGCTTAAAAACTTGGTAAAATTAACCCATTCTACAGGTTGGGGTGCAGGCTAAGAATCCCTAACGGAATCCACCGGAACAAGGTGTTGTGAGACCAGTTCTAGTCGAATGCTGTTGTGTATGAGCAGTCAGAATGTACCGTAATCTAAACTCCAACAGGAGGAGAGGTTGTTTGCACGGAGAGTAACGTTAGCGATATTTAGTTTTTATGGATGATAGCGTCAGAGGGGCTCATTTTTATACTGTGGTGGAACAGGAAGTTTATTCTTTGTGGATAAATATCTGTGGAGGATAAAAGATTATTATTGGTCTGGGATTTGCCTCCAAGGTAACACATAGAAAACAAGAACGAAGGGCTGCTTGCCTCAGAATCACGTGAGGAGATGGAGAAGGTTTGAAGATGAGCACCGACATGATAGCAAGCGAGAATTACTGGAGGCGACGTTGTGCGATTTGTTCATTTCCATTGGGGCTCAAACTTCAGAGGTTCGGACAAACAAACCCACTGGGGGAAGTTAGAGATGTACTCTGCCTCGCAAATGTTTTCACCCAGCTTGGCGTTTTTTCCTGCGTGGACATTAGAGGCAACGAAGAGGCCAAAGATAACCCTGAGAAGGAGCTGAGAAGCTCAACAGTGGAGATGGGAGCACTTTAAGCCATACACTCCTCAGAGCGGGGCTTTATGGAAGAGTGACCAGAAAAAAGAAGTGTGGAGTCTCCCACGTGTCTCCTTCCAGCTCCTTCAGGGTCATCGTTGGTCTCTTTGTGGCCTCTCTGATAAATGTCCTCTTGACCCTCCTCAGTGATGGTCGGTCCTCTCTTGGCAGGTTTGTTGTGGTGTTGAATTGTTCCTTTTTGTAATAATGGATTGAATGTTCCTCCATTGGATCATGTGACAGACCATGTGACTCAGGTGGACTTTGACTTCAGGAGACAATTGGTAGCACCAGATCATTTTGTGTAGGTCCATTACATGAAATAGAAATAAAAAATCAATTTAAATGTTCAGGTCGTAATGCAACAAAATAGGAAAAAAGCCAAGGGGGGTGAATACTGTAGTGACTGAGTTTCTCTGTCGATATGAACATGTGTTAATGTAACCGGCAAGAAAAAAAACAGTTTGCCGAGTGAAATAAAAATAAACACATGAAGATGAGCGTGAAAGTTATTCGTTTGTATTGGATTATTTTGTCAAATGACAGAGAAAGAGATTTTCCCGTATACATGTCTCTGTTTTATTTTCTTATATCTTTTTTATGTTTATACATCTTTTGAACAAATCTCACAAGCAGCTTCTTTATTCTGAAGTTGTATCCGCTCTTATCGAGCTCTTTCCTTCAGATTAAAACTCTTTTTACTTCCATCTTCCGTCTCTCTATGTCACATACAAACAGACACCCGCGTCTCCTGTCTTTCCTTTCACTCCCTCTCCACATTGTTCTCCATCAAACAGTGAAGCTAACTCTGCCTCAGTGTTTCTCCTCCCCATCTATCTCCGGATTGTGTCACACTGATGAGAGTGTGTGCGTGCGTGTGTGTTTGACTGTCTGGGTTAAAAAGAGAGACAGAGACTGTGAGCTCAGTCCACCCTGTGAGAGACGTGCTCATGACTTTTTATCTTGTAACACAGTAATTAAGTCCTCAAACTGTGATGACAAACGATGTGTCGAATGGTAATCTGGAGGCTAAAATGTTACTCGGCCCAATCCCTTCAAATCAGAAGTGAGAACGCCCAGTATGTGGTGCTGGTGAAACACTCTCTCTCTCTCTGACACACACACACACACACACACACACACACACACA